TTCCTTATATTTCAGGTGCGGTGGACCATCCCGCGTCGTCAGGGTAACATACCCAATAAACTCTGTCAAATTAAATCATTTCTCCAGAGTGCGTAGTGCTGTCTCGTACGCTCGCATGGCTCTCAGGCACCACAGTGTGACGCAGCTTTCGCGTAATCTCTCGAGATGATTGAATGCCGCTAACCAGGCCTGCGACTCCAGGCGCATGGGTGCACGGTGCGGTAGTTCCTCCGGTGTGGGCCTGCTACACCTTTTCCTCAATGTCGCTAGCTCTGATTTGTCCATAGGGCGTCGATACGTGATACGGCATTTGGGGCTATCATCGTAGGACATGCGCCATTCCTCTTTCGCCAACCACTCATGGGTACATATGCGCTGTGCGTAAGGACTGTCGTTAGAACGCTGATCGCAGATAAAACCCAGCGTTACGCTACAACGCGTAAAATCACGGTGTCCTCCAGTCAGTATCGTTGCTATAGACAGTTCGGGTAGTATCACGGGTCTTACACCGGACGGCCACCCCTTACGGCAGATCATGTCAGGGTTATCATTGTATAACACATCAGCGTCCAGCACCCCCGGTTTCGCCATGTATATCGAGACTAGCGGTACACCCGTTAAATGGCCCAATCTCAACCACTCGCGTACGGCCTCTTTCTCTGGATCGTACTCAGGGTTGCCGTACCGATAGAGGGCCCGTGTCTTCGCCCGCTGCATACGTCTATGCTTCAAAAAATCATTGTCGTCGTCGTCGTCGTAGCGAGCCATTTCTTTTTCTTCGGCGTCTTTCGGTAAATTTTTGCACTGTATCGTTTTAATGATTCCACTACTTTTCTTAGACTGTACATCGTTGCCTGCTCGCGCGTGCCCCAACCGGGAAGGACAATTGTTAAGAGTATGTACAACAAGTCTGAAAATTCAACACCTCGCATTTACCAAATCTTGAAAATATATTACACCTTACAATTTTTATATACTCATCATTTTATGCCCGAGATTTATAAGTGCATTTTTTGTTTTTGGTAATTTTCCGTAATGCCTTCTTTATCCGTCTGAATATTATTTATGCTATTAAAAAATAAGACAGCGTGCCATAGGTGTTTGTCACAGGCAGAGGCTCTAGGGAAGAAGAAATGTTCGCTGTTTGATGTACCAATTTATTGCATGTATACGATGTAATATAATAAAATATTTGTAGACTAATATAATCATATATTTACTGAATCTTAAGTTAACTAGGTGAACCAATAAGCATAGTTGATAATTAAGAAAAAAAAAAGGGGGATGAGACGTGAGTGCTGAACTCGAGATTCTCGGACGTTAATCCAGCACCAAGCACGTGTGCTACCGAGCCATTGTGCTATATAAATTGGAAAATTTATATTTCTGTAGTTACCCACGTTCGAGGGTTTGTTTAAAGTTTTATTTGCTCACTCTATTATTTACAAAGCTTAATATGGATATTAAGGGAATTAACATCGGCAGAACTTACTACCTCATTACTACGGTTTATGTAATATGCAGTAAGAAAGGGTGGATACAAGTCTCCCTATTTGAGTGTTCACCCGGTTTAAAATCGTGGATCTCGAGAAACACACGAATTCATTCGACCAATCAAAAATGTGGAACTGCTTCGAGGGCCCTCCGCTAAGGTGGCACGGCGAAACTAAAGTAAAATTGAGACCACCAAAAACAGGCCCATTGGCAATCTCCCTACTCATCTCTGTACAAACAGATTCCCAAAATAAGAGGGCACTAGTGTTCTGTATGCACTGTTACGTATATCGACCTTCACTCCGAAACAGAATAATAACGTACCCGACAGGAAGTATAATTGCAGACTCAGCACCTTACCCAGTGCACTGCCTGTGCCACTTACCCAGCTGGTTAGCCAAGTGCATTCCTAACGTCCTAACCGTACTTAGAGCATCAGCAGGAATCGACTATATAAGCAGCCAAAATCATGGCACTGACGTTCAGAAAACCATTCAGCTTCACGCATAAAAGATCGGACTGCACGTTGTCACTCGTGGCTCTAACCGTTAGAGTATTAGATTCAGTGTAATATTCGCAATCGGGCCTAGGTACGGATTCGTTATTACATACCCTAGGGAACAAGCTAGATCGATTACCGGGCAAAATTCAGCTGCATAGACTAGTCTTTCCAAGTAGCGCATAGATTAGATAAATTTTCTGTTCCACTAAATTTCTTTTTGCCTTAACCTCACACACAGTCAGATTTTCTAATCCGTTTTCACAACTTTTTTTATCCCAGTATTTCTCATAACTGAAACACTGTACACAACAATTAATTGAAACTTTTTAAATTATTTTAACAATATATCGCAAATTCACATTTTACTCGCGGTTTCAAATATCCATTACCCATCCTCGAACATTTCAGAGAATATCTATCCACGTTGGAATAGCAAGGCGTGTTTCAACACCTTAAACGAGCAGCGAACCCACCATTGAGTGCATTCTTACCGCTCGGAATTCACTCAAATATTATTCACGTTACCTCCGGTCACCTGCGTGAAGTTGGCCGGCCAACTTTTATTTTTTAAACTTTTTTTTATTCCACTCGTTTGATAGTCGTTTGATAGTGTTTGATAGGCTTGTAAAAACGTTTGATAGTCAATAGTTTTTTCAGAAAATCAAAATTAAAATCTGGTGTGAAGTTGGCCGGCACTTTTTTGTTTCTAGCCGGATTTTGTTTTTCCAGAATTCAATCGATGCAAAATCGTTTAATAGTTGCGAATTAATTAATAAAAACGTTTGATAGTCAATAGTTTTTTCAGAAAATCAAAATTAAAATCTGGTGTGAAGTTGGCCGGCACTTTTTTGTTTCTAGCCGGATTTTGTTTTTCCAGAATTCAATCGATGCAAAATCGTTTAATAGTTGCGAATTAATTAATAAAAACGTTTGATAGTCCATCGTTTGCAAGGAAAATGAAAAAAACCATATGCGAATCAAGGCTCCACGTAGTTAGCCCCTCATCTATAACGGAGTTGAATGATTTTTTTTGCAATCGTTTGTAGGTCGTTTGTAGGTGTTTCATATTGCATCCACGACGTTTGATAGTCCATCGTTTGCAAGGAAAATGAAAAAAACCATATGCGAATCAAGGCTCCACGTAGTTAGCCCCTCATCTATAACGGAGTTGAATGATTTTTTTTGCAATCGTTTGTAGGTCGTTTGTAGGTGTTTCATATTGCATCCACGACGTTTGATAGTCCATCGTTTGCAAGGAAAATGAAAAAAACCATATGCGAATCAAGGCTCCACGTAGTTAGCCCCTCATCTATAACGGAGTTGAATGATTTTTTTTGCAATCGTTTGTAGGTCGTTTGTAGGTACTTTATATGTCATTGATGATATGAAATAATTGATTCTTTAATCGTAAATAATGAAAAAAATTGTGACGTCCTGATCGTCGCCACTGTAGTTTTCGCGACAGATTCGACTGCCTGAATCTGGCGAGGTGGCTTCGTTAGCCACCAAAGTTCTGATGAGCACTCCAACGGTGTTCAATCCTCTGTATATATGTTGATTTCTGGTACGGTGATGTTATGGGCTTTCAACTGAATAAAGGCTTCAGGAATAAAAATGCAGGTGCTTTTGGAGAGCACTATAACTAACTTTATTTACTTTAATTATAATGTGATTTAGTCTAAACCAATCTATCTAGCTAATTGACTCTACGATATAGACTCGAAGTACACCCTTCAAGACCAGAAATCGAACTGCCCTTCTGGATCCCAAGGGATATAGTTCTTCATACTTCTCATGCATGCATCCGTACTCATACACAGTCATGTGTATTTCACCCTTTGTGGAGGCCCAATGTGTGGCGGCTTGCTGTCCGGGCCCAAGATCGACGGCCTTGTCTTACGCACAAAGGGCTCATGCACACCCTATCCTTAGTTTACTTGGGGAAGCACATGGACAGCGTCATACCTTAACCGAACATTCCGCTAGCCCGTCAATCCTCTCAAGTGACTTGATTTATTGCCAGGAGTGAGAGTTCCTGAGAAACTCACTCAGTTAGGATAGCAATAAACAAATGGCCCATGCTTACATTCTTTGTAGCCCATATGTTTATCCACGTGTAGCGGCTAGAAAGCTTTCTCCGAATTTTTTAGAATATACCTTATTTATGCGTTAACGGCAGACTGAGTATTTGAAAGCATTGAATTCTGATTTGGAGACGGAAATCGTGACTCCATTTTAATCCCTCATTTGAATCCGCCGCTCAATTCTAGTGAGATTATTTATCACTAGGCCACGACATAACAAAATTTTATCTAGGGAATCCATAAACTGCACCTAGCGCGCATGGGTGAAGACTTCAATATGTCAAATCACATTTTACATGTACTCATCTGTATATTGTTATTAAACATTGCAAGCCGAGATATTAGATATTTATTAGTGCTCTTTTCTTAGTTCTGAAATATTTACAATTGCACAGTTTAATATTTACTATTTCATATTCATTAAATTGTTAATTAAGTGGATGATTATAAAGAAAGGTCGAGCAGTATTCTTAAGGTTATATGATAAATGCAGCAAACGAATGACGATGGTGATAATTGTGTCAGCAGAAATTTTGAATCTCTTCTGAATGCTGGTGATATTGAGGTAAAGTTTGAAGCAGTTATTATCTACAGAGAAGCAACTACTGTGTAATCTGCTCTCGGTTTTCTTATTCAAAAGGTAATTTTTCTTATTAATTTATTGAACTTGATGCACATAGCGTACAGCGTCATGCATAATTTGTATTTTTTTACAGAAATGGATGCTCATACAACGGATAAACATGTATCATCAATTGTTCTTGAAAAATAGACTCTGTTTTGGATGCTTAACGTGAATGGAACGTTGCCTTTATCTCTACATAAATACTGTTACCTCCATCACAATTGTAAATACATATTTAATTTATTCTAGTACTTAAAAGTATCCTCGGATAGTTATGTATTTACAGTATTTATTAATAAAATAATTTATACAACAAGGAAAAACATCTTCTCCAAACTCTTATGTTGCTTGATATTAGATTTCTCCCTAAGCACCTTGAATTCTGCTCTTTTCTTTGCCAGAAGAGATACCGGTGTCCAGACATAATTTGTACAATCACCTAAACAGCAGAAGGAAGAGTACTACTATTAAAAAAAAATTAAAAATTGTTTCAATCTAAATAATAGCTGGCTTATGTTGGTAGAGAATTCCAATCAATTTAATGAATATGAAATAGTAAATACTAAACTGTACAATTGTAAATATTTCAGAACTAAGAAAAGAGCACTGATAAATATCTGATATCTCGGATTGCAATATTTAATAACAATATGCAGATGAGTACATGTAAAATGTGATTTGACATATTGAAGTCTTCACGCATGCGCGCTAGATGCACTTTATGGAATTCCCTAGATAAAATTTCTTTCATTATTTACGATTAAAGAATCAATTATTTCATATCATCAATGACATATAAGGTACCTAAAAACGATTGCATATGAACAAACACGATTAGTTTACAAAATATTTGAATGAGGGGCTAACATAAAGAAGAATTCCCTAGAAAATTAATTTTAATATTATAAATAAATGATGGACTATCAAACGTCGTGGATGCAATATGAAACACCTACAAACGACCTACAAACGATTGCAAAAAAAATCATTCAAATTCGTTATAGATGAGGGGCTAACTACGTGGAGCCTTGATTCGCATATCGTTTTTCTCATTTTTCTTGCAAGCGATGGACTATCAAACGTCGTGGATGCAATATGAAACACCTACAAACGACCTACAAACGATTGCAAAAAAAATCATTCAAATTCGTTATAGATGAGGGGCTAACTACGTGGAGCCTTGATTCGCATATCGTTTTTCTCATTTTTCTTGCAAGCGATGGACTATCAAACGTTTTTATTAATTAATTCGCAACTATCAAACGATTTTGCATCGACTGAGCTTCGGAAAAACAAAATCCGGTTAGAAACAAAAAAGTGCCGGCCAACTTCACACTAGATTTTGATTTTGATTTTCTGAAAAAACTAATGACTATCAAACGTTTTTATTAATTAATTCGCAACTATCAAACGATTTTGCATCGACTGAGCTTCGGAAAAACAAAATCCGGTTAGAAACAAAAAAGTGCCGGCCAACTTCACACTAGATTTTGATTTTGATTTTCTGAAAAAACTAATGACTATCAAACGTTTTTACAACACTATCAAACGACTATCAAACGATTGGAATAAAAAAAAGTTTAAAAAATAAAAGTTGGCCGGCCAACTTCACGCAGGTCCTCTGTCGTTCCTTTTCTTTTGGTTATTTCTAAAGTTTTGTTATAAAATTTAAAGGCCTCGCTAGCCACTCCGGCCTACGTAACAGCACCGAAAAAGTGGAGGGGTATAAGGCGGGAGTTTAAACTGAAGATTATATTTTGATGTACATCGAAAATTATAAAATAAATAATTTAGCCTATTTTAACTTAAATAAACAAATAATTAAAATTTACAAAGCTAAATTAAAACAACAAATGAAATTAAGTAAGTAATACAAAAAATTATTATAATTAAATATAAAATTCAATTCTTTACATGAAATTATTATTAGTTTATTAATAATTAATTGATCAATCAAAATAGAAAATTAAAATTAAAAATACTTTCAATAAAAATTATTATTAAGAATCATCGAAGTTTTTAAATAAAGTTTTCATTTTTTAATATAGATTTTATTTAAATGAACTATTTATATCTGTTAAATATAATTATTAAGATGTTTAGGTTAGAAGCATGTTTATTTACAAATGGAAATTACTTGTAAATATTTGTCTGCTTACTTCACATGTATTTATTATTCTATATTTATTAGGCCTTAGCTAGTGAAACTGCTAGGGCGTAGATATATCTGATTATGGGCTACCATTTAACGCTAGGCGTATCTGTTTCCTGTGAAAGTGGGGGATGTAATGTCAACGAATGAGAGCGACGTGTAGGTATACAGATTGATGATTTATTGTAGGTATGATAGGTCGACTTACAATGGTTGATAAGTTTGAAAGAGTTGATGTTGCACTTCACTGAGTTCTTTCTGTGGCAATCCGTCGTCTATTGTTATACTCGCGATAGATTTAATAGAACGCTCACCGCGATGACTTCCCTGGCCCTCGGGTGGGAAGGCTTGGTCACAAGGATCCGAAGACACGTAAAATACTATCAGCGGAGGAACAAGCAAGACTCGATGATTTAGACGGTGACTCCTAGAGGAGTTCCGTCTGTTGCCAGGATTCGCGAAAAACTACCTATTGGTTCCGAATACTGTAGGTGCCTTAGCTCCAATTTTGGGGATAATGCACCGCAATATTGATGATCTTACAGAAAGAGTCTTGCTTCATTACTCGCGCTGGCATGTAGTGTGAACGCGTGGCCTGCTAATCAGCGTTCCAGGAATTACATGAGGCAATCGAAAAGTTCGATGTGCCGACAAGAATTTACCGATTGCATTTACTTGAGTAGATCCGCTTTGGGATATAACATATTCACGTCAGTACAAAAGGGAAACTAGCGACGCTAATGGTGCAGAAAGAACACGTAATGTGAACGATATTAGTAGCAGGTTCTGTCAATTTTCCCATTTGAACTCGTGTTCCTTATTCTAGTCTCCATGGGTTCAATTCTCGAGTTCGCTCGAGCTCGGTTTCATTCGAGATTCCCTAGATTGTCGAACAAAACGGCTGTACCGGCATTCTCGAAATCTCACCGGGATCTCACGACGACATTTTTCGAACGTAAAGGACGAGTGGTCTATAGCATTCAATCGAACTAATTTATGAATTAAATGACATATCGTAAATAACATACAATTATAGTATACAATTCTTTTTAAGGGGGTTGTCTAGTGTCTCAGGTCAAAAAAATCGATTTTTTTTTTTTTTATAAATCACATCTTTACAAGACTTCTTTGAAGAAGAGGAAGGTGTACTGTATGATCCAGGCATAGCAGATTGATGGTGAGACCGTTTTTTTATTATGAATTATATACAATAACTTTCAAACGCGTTTTTCTCGAAACACGATTTTTTCAAACTGCTGCCCTAAAATCTCAAAAACTATTCAATTGATTCTGCTCAAAGTTGCACAGTATCTTTAGTACATATATAGCTACAAGTTGAACTAAAATATCTAAGATTGCTTCGTTAGTTTTTTTAATAGCTAAATACACCCCAAAAAAAAGTGCGAAAAATTGAATTTTTTTCTAAAGCGTAAAAAAAATTATTTTTTGGCCACCACGTCCCATATATCTTTGTCTTACTAACGCTGTTTGACGAGGACGGATAATCGAAAAGTCTATCTCATTCCCATTACCGAAAGTCCCATAGCTCCTTCTCGTTTCTTATCGGGGTAGTAGCTGTTCTGGTCATAAAGCGTTAGTCCGAGGGAGAGGGGGAAAGCGTGCCACCGAACACGAGCGGTCCCCCACCAAGCTCCCTATTGCGCATGAGGGGCCTTGTTGGCGTCTCGCTTACACTAGTGCTGTGCAACAAGGACGCACCGAGCAGCGCTCTGGCGTCTCGCTCGCACTGTAGCGCTTTCTGCGTCGCACGTACAGGCCAAGATACCCGAGCAAGCGCCGCCCAATCTTCGTTCTTACCTTACCGCACGGCGTCTACCTTTCTCACCATTATTGCGAATGATTGTACAATATATTAGCTTGAAATAATTCACAAAGTTTGTTTAAATGTCATAAAACATTATATACAGATTATAAGTTAATTTATTTTAATGGTTCGTCAGAAAAAAATTTCTAAAAAAGCATTAAAAAAACATCTTTCACACTAGACTACCCCCTTAAAGATAATATATAAAAAATGTGATCAACTTTAAAGACGAAAACGTGAATAATACTGGAAGCGTCTTATCTCAAAATAAATGGTTAATATAACTCATACGATTCACTTATTTTAAAACCTTCGCGTTTTTTAAAACAGCTATCTTTCTATTAGGCTAGACTGTTTATTGGCCTATAAGTGAATACAGCAACTTGGCAATACTGCATGCAAGTGTCATACCAGATGCCGCTTGAAAGCCCTGTCGATCGATCTCGAAAATACCAATTTTTCGTTTCGTTTGAATCGATCATTTGAACATTTCGAGCGCTCGGCCGAATTTCAAGCGAGCTCGAGAATTGGCACCCTAGTGCAACAAACACTACGTTTACACGACAGTCTAAGACCACCGTAGCTTAGTTTCCACCGTTCAGAGTTTAAACAGAGTCAAGCTGTCTCATTGGTCAATTCCACTCAACCCCTATACGTGATTGGTTAACTCTGTTTAATCTCTGCACGTTGGAAACTAAGCCCGTGTAAACGTAGTCTAACAGAGAAATAGCGATGCTCTTTCCCCTTTCGGCTCATTTTGGAACACATCTATAATGCTCCAGAGCACGGAGCATAACCGGTTTAGTTAATACTGATCTAAAGGAATTGACCAATCCCAAATATTGCTTACAAGTAGAAATGTCTACGATTTGTCCATACCTTTAGATCAGTATTAACTAACCGATTTAACACTGCCTGTAAACGTAGTCAGTGTGAATCCGCCCATAATCGATGTCGTGAATTACTATTGATTGTACTATCTATTGCTATCCAATGGTTCATCAATTTCGACTTTGGAGTGTAGAGTGTGGCCGATATTTCATTAAGCCTAATATTTTTTCTGAGCTGTGAGATGGTGTTTTGTTTGTAATATAATATGTAAGTATAACTTTCACTTGGAAACTGTATGATGCTTGAATGACATTGAACTATCAAAAGCTGTACATTTATGATTATGATAAAGCCGGCCATTAGTAATGGCAAAATATTGATATTGGACTATCTGGTATAGCGTTTCGAGTACCAGCGTAATTCTCGTTAAAACAAATAACTGCTCAGAGCATAACATGCACTTGTAATGCCATAGTATTTTGTTCAATAATTTGCTGAGTGCTTTTCAAGAATACCACCAACTTATTTCAGTTGAAAATTCGTTTACATCAGCAACACTTAATGCATACTTACAAGCAATATAATTCCTCAGTACACATTATCTAATTTTATTTTTTTGCAATTATTCGACTTTCACCTTAAATAAGCTATCGAAAATTGTAAAATTGAAGTATGTAACCTCTCCACCCTTTATTTTGCTATTTTTATTTACTTTCTGGAATATATAATAATTGTACTATGCATAATAATTTTATCATGGCATAATTGAATCGAAACCAGCTATTGTTAGATCAAGAATTTTATTATTTTAAGTGTTAACATCTGTCTTTTAATCTTAGGAAACATTCAAATGCCAGCAAAATCGCAGAATACAACTCCTTGAAGTTAACTGTAGATTGTTTTTTTTTTTTTTTTTTTTTTTTTTTTTTTTTTTTTTTTTTTTTTTTTTTTTTTTTTTTTTTTTTTTTTTAGAGGAAGCTCCTTGAGAAGAAGTTATATCTGCAGTTTACACAAATAACTTTTTTTTGTTTATTCTTAATGCTATTATGATTCTATGTATCATTATAATATTTATATAGTTTTTCCTGTTTATAGGTCAAATAAACAATAAAAATGTCAGTTCATTATAAATTCAAATCAACTCTAGATTATGACACTGTATCATTTGATGGATTGCACATTTCTGTTGCTGATTTGAAAAAAGCTATTTTTCATCAAAAGCGCATTGGAAAAAATACTGACTTTGATTTGCAAATAACTAATGCACAAACCAAGGAAGGTAAGTGTTTAATATTACAATTAATATATCTCATATAATTCTTTCTAATCTGTGTAATAATATGATGTAATTTATTTTAGATTATACAGACGATAATACATTAATTGCAAAAAATACTAGTCTTATCGTTGCTCGCGTACCATTAACAGTACAACAAAAACGATCGTGGGATCGTAATGAAACACCGACTTTTGGTAACCCAAAAGATGAAGTTAATTTGGGGCGAGCTGTTGATCTCACACGTCTTGATGGTTCAGAAGAAGATAAGATTCGTGCCATGATGACACAATCAACACAGGATTATGATCCATCAAAGTATGTTAATTTATTTGAACTAACACGATACATAAAGTAATCAATAACATATATGTTGTATAGTTATATGAAAATTCGTGGTGCGAATCAAACTGGAGATGTGCCTCCAAACTATCGCTGCTATAAATGTCATCAACCTGGACACTGGATAAAAAATTGTCCTCTAGGTATAAATCAGGAACCAATTGAAATTAAAAAAAGCACTGGAATACCTAGAAGTTTTATGGTTCCTGTTGAGGGGCCTTTAGTGCCAGGTGCTATGATGACACCTACAGGTCATTATGCAGTCCCAGCTATAGATCAGTGAGTACTTAGAAAATACAATGTTATAATATGTGTATTTTTAATTACACTTTCACATATTTTTATGGTCGTTGTGAATCTTCCTTATAAAAAGAAATGCTTATATTTATATCAAGTGTATGTTTTATATTCATAGTCAAGCTTACAAAGAGGGTAAAAAAGAGCGGCCACCATTTTCGCAAGATCCTGAACCAGTTGTTGAGAAGCCAGAAATACCGGAAGATTTATTGTGTAACATTTGCAAAGACCTTTTAACTGATGCTGTTATGATTCCTTGCTGTGGAAACTCTTTCTGTGATGAGTGTAAGTACTTTCTAATGTCTAAAAAAACTTCCTATCATTCTAACTTTTCATTACAAAGTATGTACGTGCATGGTTTTGCGCTGAAATGTATTTTATTTTTCTGCTTCGCCATATATCATTGTGATTTTACGGAAAATCATATATGATTTGCTAGAAATTGCATTATTTGTGAATTGTCAAATGCTTGGGGCCTGCAGGTACTTTATTGTTATAATAGAAAAGAAAATTGTAAATAGTGATTTTTTCTGTAAGTGGATTTGGCATATTTGTCAATGTTAATAATCTAGTTGACACTCTTTGACAATGATTAATCCAACATTGAAGAAAACATGCAATCAAAAAGTTCAGATGTTGAACTTAACATATGCGAGCAGCTTCCAGTTAAATGCGTTCTTCATTGCGGAAGTCCTATCAAAACAATTGGTAATCTTGCAGAACATGTTTTTGTAATGTTGACGGTTTCAAAATTGCACCCTATTGTTTAACCCGCGAATAAAAGTCTTTGTAAAAAGACTGTTATCATTTTTGAATCGTCAATAGTAAAAATATTATATGTGGTGAATTCGTAGAGCAACTTTCAAAAAACAGAATGAGCTATGATGCATTAAAATCAGTACAAAATTACGGTTTATTCTTTTAGAAAACTCGACGAAAATGTAACTCTATGGAAATTAGCATTGGTTATTTAATGCTTTAGCAAATTACATTGCTATTGATGTTTCTCTAGGTTAAGGACACGTGTTGTAATACATATCATTTCACTACTGCCGATAAATAGAATTAACTTGAATAGTATCTAGCGCAGCAGATACCTTATCTTAATTGTGTTGTGATAGTATTATGCAAAAATTAAGTCTCTGGATTATACGCGGAAAAGTTCAAATAACGTGATATGAGCGTCGTATACTTTATAATATATAATCAACATCTAATGGCTGGAACGTATGAAAGAATCGTTTAGTAATGTTGGAAAAGTTCGTCCTTATTTACACCGCATATTGTTGCTGTTATGACAACAATTCGTGTTTTTCACAAATCTATTTCCCCTCTATCGTTTGGTATTTTGTTAAAATCTTAAATGTTGTTTAAAAAGTTGAGTTCCAACAAAGAACATGATATTGGTATTTGTTTGGTTTAGGCGATATGTATGGAAGCTACTGATTATGATGGCAATTATCTCAATATTCAAACGGCCAAACTCTTTTTAAGTGCACAGATGTTTCGATAACGCTTTGATTATTATGTAATTGACATTTTTTTAAATTTTTAAAGAAATTGATTATGTATTATTCATAGGTATCCGAACATTTCTGTTGGAGTCCGAAGAGCACGAATGTCCAGATTGTAACGAGAAAGACGTGTCACCCGAAACATTGATTCCGAACCGCTTCTTACGGAATGCCGTGCTAAACTTCAAAAATGAGACTGGATATGCAAAGAGGCAATCGTACAGATCTGCCATTCAAAGAGCCAAGAATGTGCAACAGGAATCCTTGAGATGTGAACAATTTTCTGCTGTTCCAGCACCTCTTCAAAGTAGCGACTCACAAGGACAAAATATTACAAATACGAGCAAAGAATCGCAGCATGTTGTAGAACAGCAAACAGCAAATTTTGATAAGTCGGCTCTGCATTTTAGTAGTACTCAGCAGTCAACCATTCAAAGCAGTAAGTCTTTGGAATTTCTTTGCAATTAATCGATTTATCATTTATTAAATTTACCCTATTACTTCTACAATTTACTTTAGTACCTTAAACTATTTGCGATGGCTTTTAATTCCTGAAATCGTTAAACACTTTTGCAACATACGATATTCTTAGAAAAACGCGGTATAATATATTTTTCGTTCACGATCTTTTCGAATTTTATGGAACAACTGAATGCAGATTGTCACCTTGTATTTTATACATATACATAGTTGATATTTCCATACATAGCCTCAATTATTAAACAGAAGGATTACTGGCAGATAGAAAAATACAAAAATTAGAAGCATCTTTTATTTTTAGCAGCTTAATATAATTTTTGTGTAAATAAACTGCTACAGAATAGGATGCTTTACAGGTCACTCTGAATCAGCTTTAGACCTAGACCTACAGAGTAGTCAACTTATAAAGGCACCAGCCGAAGAGGAGAATGAAGTACCATTACCTCCTGGAACAGAACCATTATTACCGATCCCTGCCATTGGTAGTTCACCAGAAAAAGAGCGTGAGTCAGATCGACGTGAGCCTACTGATTTAATAGAATCCAACAAAGACGATTGCGATGAGGGATACATGGATGAGAGAAGACCCCGAGAACGTCGACGAAGCTTCAGCAGAGATAATCATCGCGATAGGTTAGATATTTATGTGCATTTGCATAAATGCAATCATACATATCACACATTCCCTTTTGTACAATCTTATATTCAGTGAGCTTTACGTTATACTGCCATACAATTTCTATTACCCTCTCTACTAAATATAATTAATTATGTCTAATAAGGCACACATCAGCTCATAACATAGTGATATGTTACATGCGTTTAATAAACTATTATCCACGTAAAATTAAGTTAACTATTATTATAATTCAGCATCAAAAAGCGTGAGTGTACTTACGAGTTTAAATACATCAATTTATTACATTGTTCTTGTTGTTGCAGAAGTGCAGAAAGAGGGCGTAGAATGGAAAACTTACGAACTGTGAGCCGCAGACGATCTTTATCACCTAGACATTCTTCCCGTGCTGAATATCCTTCTCATGCATCGATTTTACCGCATTTATTGGATCAACCTTCCTCAAAGACCTATCAAGGCCCACCACAGACTGAGAATCACTATGCCTCAAATATACATTATGAATCTGGTATTCGTAGATCAACAGAAGATCGACCAGGCACGCCAACGGTTAGTAACAGATTTTAAGGAAATCTAAACAATAAAGCAATATTGACATGTTACTTATTAAATTAATGTAGATTGATGAACCTCATCTTCATGGACCGCCTGCTACTACCGGGCAGCAGCCTTTACTGCCTTTTCCACCAGGTGAAGATCGTGTTCCACCACCAAATTATAATCAACCACCACCCAGCATGGCTCCACACAATGCTCCATTGTTACCAGATCCTTACATGGGACATCGAATAGCTATGTATCCTCATCAACAAGGCCCTCATTATGGTCCGCCGAGATATGAAAGGCCACCTTATCAACACCAAGGTTACAGACCTTCTCAGCCCCCACGTACCTATAATGGCCCGCCGAGATCACTTCGAGGAGTTCACCACTGTGAGTAATGTATAAACTAATACAAATCTGTTAATTGATATAAATTCACATGTCATGGAAAGTTTTAACTGTGTACGCGCTTTATTATGAAAAATTCACCAATATCGTGTGTGTTTCGCAATCAAACATGTTCAGTGTCTTCTTTCTGATATAGCCTGTATGAAAAAAAGAACGTTCAGATATCAAAAAGTTGTAAAGAGCAATGTTTTACTGTTTGATACAACAAACAATAAGCGAATTCAATTTTTACATTTAATTTTCAGTTTATGTATACATATATTTAAGGTGACCCGGTTTTTTCTTTTCTTTTTTTTCTTTATTTCTTTTTTTCTTCCCCTAATAAGATATATTTTTCTTATGGCTATAAGTCAAAAACACTTTCAGTGAAGTATGTATGACTTAATGTTATTATAGTCTCCTCTCGTGAAATGTCACTTTTGAAAGTTAACAAAGATGTCCAAACATAATAATAGAGACACCCTGCCGCTTTTGCAGCTTCCTATATATTTCACTCATGTTTGTTGCAAAGAGAATCGAAAAATATCTGTTACAAATTCTTCTTATTATGCTGGGACTCGATTAGACAGCAAGCTAAATTTGACTATTTGTACCCCAGTGAGCAAGGAAAAAAAGTTGGATTTTAATGACATCTTGAATGTTAGGGGGTTTTTCGGTCGCTGAATACGAATCCGAGGTCAACATTTAAAAATGGAAAATTGCTAATCCAATATGGCACTCCAAAAAAAGAACATCTATCTGATTTGTATGTAACCTGGATCTTAGGGTTTTTTTTGGCATCCGGAATTTAGTTTATGATATATGCACGCCAACTCAAAAATCTTGTTTTGAAAAAAAACCTGTTTAAAGTTTTAGATACAATTCATAACGATATTTACGGTACTTATCACCTCTTCGTAGAAAATTCGTTTCGTGCCAGTCTTTCATATTTCTGAATCACTTGAACCTCTTGATTCAAGTTGAAGCTCCACTGCTCCAATCTCTCCAGAGTGCAGATTGTCGCAATAACCGGCAATTGATTGTTTTACTAGCTAATGATTAATCCCATCATCATCGTCGTCTGAAGAATACTATAATAGGCTTCATTGAAGATCCCGACAGCTAGATAGGATGCAATTTCAACAGCTTTTAGGCCGGACTAGTTCTCGACAGAGAATTAACCTTTTCACAGGCGAATAAAGAGGTGCCTAGGTATGAATTACAACTCGACGAAAATTCGTTCGTCTTATACACACAATGTTTCGACTCTTGAACTCGTGTTATTGTTCAGGAACACCGATGTCAAGCCAAGTTTCGCGCACTCCTATTTCATCCGGCGCCGCGTAAGGCTGAACGTTTTGGAATTTCGGAAATTTTTCAAATTTTGAAATATCACTTCAAGAACATATTTTTTTTAAACCTTTAACGTTAAGAACATGTAAAAGAATATCGTTTTTTTTTTTGCGACTTTCCGAAGTAGACTCCCCTTTAAAGAGTTCTCAAATCTCAGGCCAGTTGTCTGAAAAATTATTCAGGAAGTAATCAAATTGCGCACCTAAATAATTCTTAAAATACTGTAATTCAGAAGATGAAAACAGTTCTTTTGTAGATCGCAAAATGATCATGCGAGCACAATTTTTAGCTATAGTGATAAATAATTACACGTTGATAGATGCAATTTTCAGTACGCAATAATCTAGATTAAACTTAAGATATTTAAAAAGTATTGGATAACTTTTATGTTATATAACATACTTTTATTAAAATATACTACACAAATTTATTACTGTAATGTGTGCATTTCAGTTGAACATTTTGAGTGTAAGTTGTTTGTTTCATATGTTGTCATGTATCTGATAAATTTGTAATATCACTTATGACTCTGGCAACGTTTTCATTGGACTCACTGTGGTGAGCTTGATGGTAAATATCTTATTCGTACTGTCTTCTCTTTAATTAACTAATAGTTTTACAGAGGAAATGTTTCAGATTTTTTTGGACTATTTTTACGTACTGCATACAGTTGTTTTCGAACATAAGTTCTTAACCCTCAGGGTACAAATTGGGTTAGCGTAACCCGAGCAAATTTTGAAAGTAGCGCCATTTTGGAAGAAGTCGTTTATATTTTCAACTATAACTTTTTTTTATAAAGAAATATCACAAACTAATAAAACGATCGCATTTCAGAGAAAATTGCCGATCGATTGGAAAAAAAAATGTTTTAATTGAATGTCCGTGTTCTATAATCGATTACCGCGCTCGGAAGCGGGTAAAAGTATTGTCCGAATAGATTGAAAATAAAAGTGCGAAATGTGATAAACAAAAAATATGTCTGGATGAGGCTCGTTCAGACGCACTTTTTATGTCGATGCCATTTTTTTGTAACAAACAAACTTTTCCAGATAAAAAATAAATACGTACTTTTTTTTTACCTAAAAAAAACACGCAAAAATCAATGTTTCTCAAAACTGAAACTGCGTTTTCTCGAGAAGTACTTGACCGAATCACTGCAAATCTAAACCAAATGTTCAGGACTCATTGGCGGAGCCTATGGTTCAGATCAGAATGTTGCAGCGCAAAATTGTTGTTAAATATTGTAATAGACAAAAAAAAACCGTGTTTTCCACATTTCCCCAAGCGAGGAAGTTTTTCGTTATAAAAGTCTCATCAATATCATCCTAAAAATACGGGTCCTTAACGTTTGGGCAAGTTTTTAGCAAAGTTTGATCGCGGTTAATTGAAAATTATTGAAGTTGTCGAGAGTTTAATAAAAGTCGGCATTGACGCGTGACGCCGACTTGGCGATCGCTGCGCGCGAGGCGGATTCGGATTCTCTCGCCGTCTTTTATTTTCAACCTATTTGGACAATACTTTTACCCGCCTCCGAGCGCGGTAACCGATTATAGAATGGGGCCCTTTAATTTATGAATTACAGCTTAATTTACAGTCGATCAAAGTTGCCGGGTTAGGCTAACCCATGTCCGTACGGACAGTTATATTTTTATAGTCCGTACCCTGAGCGTAAGGTGTGAGAAATATGAGTTGCGTATTATGAGGAATACGATTAGTTCTCATATAGAAAAACTTTACCATGCTGTATTGATGTGGTTCGAATAATTGAAAAACAAAAATAAAAACACTGTACAAAAAATTTCTCAATTATATTTATTGATTTTATTCGAATCTATTTTGTTAATCAGATAAATGGTTATTATTTAGATTATACAGTTTATTGTATAAAATATTATAGGGTTTGATTTTTTGTTACAAATACAATGATTTGATTAAAATATTTTGTAAAATAAAGAATTTAAACTTAATAGCAATTCAATAAGCCTTGCGTTGACAGTATACCGTATGTTTATTTGAAAACTTCCCAGCTAAATATCTCTAAAACAATGCATTATCGAAAAAAAAAAGGTTTAGACAAAAGTTGTTTGATTTTGAAGGGAATGTAAGCTGATGAGATTGGTATGACCTTAGATGGTGATGCTATGGTCACGATAAGATCACTTTGGACGTTTAAAAATCAGACCCCCCTAATTTTTATTCCATATTCTTGTAGCTCGTGTCATGAAAGTTTGAAAATAATAGTGTTAAGCTTTTTCAAGTAAAACTTACCCCCAAAAAACACTTACGTGTAAAAAACTACGCCAAGTGGAGGACTGCTGTGAATTCCTCTAACAAAAAGTATTTAAATCATATTATTAATGCCAGGTACATACATATATCTTCAATTCAAAATGATTTTCGTTACTAATGAACCTACTTAATAAATTTAAGGAAATAAGTGTTTAAAATAATTAGGATATGTATACTAGTTGTGAAATCGTATTAGACACATTAGTTTTAAATGATTTCATGTTTTTGTTTCAGTGGGCTACAGAGGTCTTCAACCACCACCGCCGGGGTTAGGAAGAAATATTCATAATGGCAACCCACCTGGGTACGCTACAATAAATCAAATTTTTTACATATTTAAATTAAATATTCTAGTTATTCCGAAACTGTGTATTTATTTACCATTTTTTATAGAATTATTAATTTTTGAATTTGTAATGTTTTCTCATTAGCATAATTGATGATCCACTGGAAGCGTTCGAGCGTATGCTTCGTGAAAAAGATGAACGTGATCGAAGACTTGGAAAACATCGACGGCGTACCAGGAGCCGTTCAAGATCTCGAAGTTACACTAGATCTAGATCGAGATCTTTCGGGCGTCGTTCACCTTTGCCGTCACGAATGAGCAGATCGAGAAGTCCACCGCCGAAACGACGGCTGCCATCGAGAACGCCACCGTTACTTCGACCCCGAAGCCGCACGCCGAAAAGAAGATCGAGAAGCGGTAGCTTCTCAATCAGCAGGTGATATACAACTAATCTGTAATAGTTAGCCACGGTAGAATACAGCATTTAAGATTGCCTTATGTAGTCTTTCTTTCGCGTTCTCGCACAAGCACAACCAATCTACGAAATTACAGATGAAGTTTTCAACTAACTGGGCTGACATTTTTAGGAAATTTGAAATTTCGAATGTAGACCGGTCTATTGTAATATTTGTAGATGATCAGGGCTCTGAACAGCTCATTCTATGATTCCATGAATTTAAGTTTTCTTTTTTTTTTTGTTTGTTATAACGTTTCAGAGATTAATTTGATTGTGGCAGTTAACGGAAAATACGCAATTACATATACAGTAATGTGCAATTGAAGTGGAACACTTGAATTTTTGTTTATTTCTGCGAAACTATGATCGATTTCAATTTTTAGGAATTTTCTTAGGATTTTTTAGGAAATTTCTTCCCGTTCGAATGGTAAAGGTTTTATCCCGATTGGATACAAAATGGCAGAACGGCAGGGGTTGGAGTGAAATAGTACATTTTGGGACTTTTTGAAAAGTGCGAGAACTAGTAGTTCCGGGAGGAAATTCATTTTTTTAATTATGGCACGAGAAAAAGCATCCTTCGGCAGTCAGAAACACACCCATTAACCCCTGTAACATCACTCTAGGGGAAGCTACACCCCCTTGAAGTGAGAACACTTAATTGGCTATAACTTCTGAACGCGCCAGCCAATCTGGTCTAGTTTCTGCATGATATCATTGTTCTCGGAGATGATCCCGTGATGGAGATCTCGAGATATAGCAAGCGCATCCGCAGCTTTCCCGCCATTTTTCATTAGGAATGCGGTGAAATAGAAGTTTTATATTTATTCTCCATTGTAGCTGAGATTTCAACGATTAAAACGCGCTTTTAAATATCCAAAAATGAGTTTGCTAAGGGGTTAAATTTTTCATTTGAAAAGACCCTTAAATTTTGCGAGTTTCGCTCGAGGTACTCAGGTGACTATTACCTTACCACGCGCGCCCAGCGGTTGTCAGCTTATATAACAAAATTTTGATTGAAGTGAGTATTCAATAGGTGATTTAATAATAGTGGACCCGTATATTATAACACTGAGTGGTGCAATGTCTTTTTACCACAGGTTGGGGCAGTCTATGCCAAACGTACAGTCCGCCTGTGTTGGCAATCATTAGCAATCTGATATTCGAAATTAAGACTGGCGCAATACTAATCTATGTATGTACATGAAGTCTAATTTGATATACCTAGTTTATACATTTCATATGACTTTGTATGTGAAACATATTTTAAAATTCATAATATTTTTAACAGTGTAGCAACAGCAGCTTACTTCCTCAAATCAAGTACATATTTTTCTAAATCAAAAACGTGAACGAATCAGCATTCTTTTAAATCGGTTCTCTTGTGTAATCCACTTACTCTATTTTAATATTTATCAGCATTGACGAACGCCAACCAACATTTTCCTGAAGCAGTTAGCCTCTTTTTCGAACTAATCATCGTCTTCATAAAACCAATTATTCTATTTCGAAATGGTAATAACCTATTATTCAATTATAAGTTGACTAACCATTTAATTTTGTGAAATCTCGTTTTTTTCCTGTTCAGTGTTACAATGTTCTTATTAATTGATGTATTGACTCATACTTTACATTACACCTTGTTATAAATCAGTCAGTCAGTCTTCTTTTCATCTGTATTTAATTAATTTTTCACCAATAAATTTAATCATTAACCTTCATATTCTGACGTTAACCCTCACCAACGTAACTGAAACTGTCTGCAAGCGTCCATTTCTGTTCATTTGACATCTTTCAATATATTTAATGCCGCTAGTAACCCTTGCTGTTAAAACCAGTAAATTCACGCACATTTTCCGACTAATTAAAATCGCGGAAAATCGACAACAATCATTTAATACGATAGTAATAGGATAATACAAAGGGATAAATAAATTCTTTATGTATACGGATGAAAAATTTCTAGTCAATTTGGCTTACTTATAATTTGACATGTAATACCGTGTTTGTAATATAAATCAATGATCAAGTACTTTCAAGAAATATGTTTCAACTGTCTTCAACGTTATAGAATAACTTCAGTTAGCGCGTTAGTCCTAAGAAACGATTCCTTATATTGGTCCATGGTTCAGCGAACATCAAAGTCGAAAATTAAGGAAAGGAGGATGTGTGAGCTTCATCATTTTGGATACCACTTCTGCACCTGTTTATACAGTAATATTTGCGAATGTTCAGCATTTCTAGTTCCAAGAAGGTACATGCTAAAAAATTCGATAATTTAGTGTCATATTATGTTTGTAAAAAATTCTCCTTAAACTGCTTCGACAATTGAGTTGAAATTTACAGAAACGATCACATGAGGTTGGGACCAAGCAGTAACATTTGCAAATGTTAAACACCTCCAGTATCATCGTTTCTCCTCAAAACATTTTTTTTTTTGTAATAAATAATGTATGAAAAAGTCATTCTTAGCGCTTGAAGTAAATTTAAAACATATCCCGAAATATAACCTGGATGGTTGTATCTTTTTATGCGTTTTATGTTAGCAAATAACTAATGTTGTGGTAACATCATTTTTAAAATGAGTGCTGAAAATCTGTAAGCTTTACTGTTTCATATATACATATTAAAAAAACTCTTTTTGTAACTCTTAATCCAATTGATTCAGTGGGTTGACCCAGTGGTTCGTACAGAATTTTTTGTTTGATTTCCTCATGCGCACGCGCACTTTTTGGCGTTGTGTACTGCACGAAAGCAATGTTTCATAACGTATATATACGTTATTTTATAATTGAAAGTGTTGCATAGTTGCAAATCTAACTAACTTATTTACAATTGGAAGTAAATTTGTCGTGCAAATAACAACATGAAGATAGTTCGACGCTTTTCTTATAAATTTACGCATAAATGCGCAAAAGCTACGGGTATCTGGTGCGCTGACAGGCAGGCACACATACGTACATACATTCTTTCTTGCGTTAAACACTTTTTTACGGGCTTATTGTCCAATTTTTTTTACAGATCTAGATCTTATTCTCGCAGTCAGTCACCGAGAGGTTCCCTTTCTCGTGATAGGGAGAGAGATAGAGATAGGGATCGTGATCGTGATCGAGATCGAGATCGTGATCGTGACCGTGATCGCGATTTACCGTCAAGGTATAGATCACCTGCTAGATCGCCGTTAAGGTGAGCACTTCTCATAAGTATATTCATAATTGTTTTTACATTTCAATAATTATATACTGCGTAAATTATGATAAACTTTTTCAGTATTTCAATAAGTTTAAATGAAAACTGAAGCGGTACTTACCTAAAAGTCATGTTGAAAAATAAAACATGAAATAATATTCGTGCATTGGATCATGTACATGAGAAAATTAATCGTTAACTAATCTACAGATTTCAGAGGGATCGGGATCGCGATCGAGATCGGGATCGTGGACGATCACGAGAACCACGTGAGACTTATGGCGGTTATTACGGCTCGCCAGGACGGGATTATCAGTATCGTGAACGCGACCCGGTGGCGCGAGAAAGATGTCCGCCAATGTCTCGATATCCGATGAGGAATCAAACTTCTCAACATAATATACCACCGTTGTTACCGCATCTTAGTGCTGGTGGCCATCCTTCATCGCAATCGCAAACGCACTCACAATCGCAGTCACAAGTGCAGCCTCAATCGCAGTCCCAGCCGCCGCCTCCTCTTATGTCGCTTGGACCATCACCACTGGACAGGAAAGACTATTATGATTCCTATAACAGGTATTTCAGCATCAATAGTTCTCTAATATACGTACGTAATAATAATAAGCAGGCACACTTTCGACAAGTTTTTCTTTACCGCATTTATGGCTAAACGAACAATATACATATACGTACAATGCACGTAGAATACCGGATGATCTAAGTAAATATAGCCACAGTAAATGGTTTACTTGATTGCTACGCCTAGCTAGACCATTCGGTATATACATTTATACAGTATATATATCGGCGTGTGTAGATCTTATACCCTTATTACCTTTTTTTCAGTACACTAGCGCACATTATTAATTGTAAGATTTTGTTTCGGGAAATATAGATACCTTTAATCGAACATCTTTGTACGATTTACTGTCTAATATACCTTTGTAAAATTATATCTCTTTGCCCATTGTGACATACAATACATTGTTGCAATGGCCATCGAGCTTATCGTTATGTTTGATTTAGTAATTATTATATAACGTGTTATTCATTTCAACATGAATGAGTTTATAGCATGTTACAGTATGGAATTTTTTTGTTACTTGTACGTTTCAAGACATGATTTACACGTGGCAACTTGTTAAAATAATTATTTCTAATGAATAATTAATTTATTTTGTTTGCGATAGAAAACTTAGAAATGTCGAGATACTGTGAAACATTCATTATAACTTTGAAGAAAGGTACCTAGACGCATTTATACATATTCAACCTTCATTTTACTTCTTCTGCCATTTCTCACTACACAGTATATTTTTATTACAATTCTTTATGAATGAAATTTATGGTCATTTTATTTATATGCAACGATGCTATTTTGTCATTTATCTGTATAACTCACTTCAGTTTGGCTAAGTAAAACATTTCCTAGTTTTATATATTATTACGAAAACGTTCGTATCAAACAAATACAATGATGTATTATAGTTTTGTGAATTTTAACTATAATTTTGTGCTATTGAATTTTCAAATTACTATTTCTTCTTTTAAATTAACAAACGTTCTTGCCCCTTAAGTGTCACACTAAAATATAACAATCGGACCAGGAATGTCACGGAAAATGAAGGTTATTGAATTTTTATGAAACTTGATATCTTAAAGTTTTTATGGCCGCTGAATCAGAATATGATCTAATTAGAAATCGTTTTTTCATAAAATTGATATTTTACACTGTGAATATCTATATTTTGAATTGACTCTATAGAATTCAATATATCGACAGATAAATAGAAAACTTACGCAATCAAGCTATCATGGCGGAGTTTAATACTAATTGTTTCTTCATTTTCGATTATGTACCTGGTTTAATATTAGATTGTTCGTATTCTCTTTTACAATTCGAAGTGTACTTTTCAGAGAACGCGTACCGACCAAAAATCATCTTAACGATGTTTAATGCGATAGAAATTGTCTTTTTGGCATCTTACCCCTCCGTATTACATCTCCGTAGAATTTGAATGTGGTCACTAAGATGAAATTGACCGAGGCGATTTTTAAACGATTTTCATATCAATAATTTTCTTATCCACCGGGAAAAATTCTGAAATATATCTGAAACCTTTTTAAACAAGGAACTATCGCGCTGGAAGAATAAATTTAATAATAAATTGTCATACAAAAAAAGTGATAACAGATGCAGCGCGTAAAAAATGTCGTTTTTCGAGAGAAAAATAGGAACTTTTTTGGTTATCAATAGTTGTTTTAAAAATGCACAGGCATATGGAATGTGGGATATTGAGAAAAAAATGTCAGATAGATGTTGAGGACAGCAGGATTTTTTGACCAGAACATGTGGTTTTTGAGCTCAAAATCATTTTAACCCGTTTACGCCCAAACTGGCATGAAAGTTTTTCATTTTTCAACAGTTATACTTTTAAGGTAAAAGTTATTCAATCTTGATGAAACTACATGTCTTTATGTATTTTTGTCTGCTCTTTCTGAAACTGACCTCAGATTGACGATATTTGCCGCCATTTTTAAAATACGGCAGTTTAAATCTGAAAAAAGGAAAAAATTTCATTTTTTTTTTTTCAAATAATCATGAATCTGAACCAGATTCCGTTATCGGAGGGCGATAAAACTCTGGATCGGGTGGAATACGACCTTATACTAAAAGATAGGATTATTAATTTATTGAAATTCAAAATGGCGGTCATTGAAACAGCTGTTTTTATACATGAATTTAATGAAAAGCTTTGCAATTTTTTTTCTCGGTAAGTATTAACTTTACGAAAAAATTTAATGGATTAAAAAGTTCTTAAAATTAATTGAAGAATACGCTTGAATTTTTTCAGAATATTTAAAATTATTTTTGGATTTTTAGAATTGTCGATTTTTCGAAAAATCAAAAAGTTATCCAAAAAATTCTGAAAAAATTCACACGTATTCTTTGACTAATTCTAATTACTTTTTGTTCTATTTGTTCTGTTCGAAATGATCTCTGTCGAATCAGCCACCTTTATATATGAATGTAATACAAATCTTTGCGCTTTTTTTTTACTCTATGAAAATCAACTTTACAAAAAGCTTTACAGAACAAAAAGTAATTAGAATTAGTCAAAGAATACGTGTGAATTTTTTCAGAATTTTTTGGATAACTTTTTGATTTTTCGAAAAATCGACAATTCCAAAAATCCAAAAATCATTTTAAATATTCTGAAAAAAATCAAGAGTATTCTTCAATTAATTTTAAGAATTTTTTAATCCATAAAATTTTTTCGTAAAGTTAATACTTACCGAGAAAAAAAATTGCAAAGCTTTTCATTAAATTCATGTATAAAAACAGCTGTTTCAATGACCGCCATTTTGAATTTCAATAAATTAATAATCCTATCTTTTAGTATAAGGTCGTATTCCACCCGATCCAGAGTTTTATCGCCCTCCGATAACGGAATCTGGTTCAGATTCATGATTATTTGAAAAAAAAAAAATGAAATTTTTTCCTTTTTTCAGATTTAAACTGCCGTATTTTAAAAATGGCGGCAAATATCGTCAATCTGAGGTCAGTTTCAGAAAGAGCAGACAAAAATACATAAAGACATGTAGTTTCATCAAGATTGAATAACTTTTACCTTAAAAGTATAACTGTTGAAAAATGGAAAACTTTCATGCCAGTTTGGGCGTAAACAGGTTAAGGTCACTTTAACAGAGTGATCACGAAGAGTACAGATAATTTTAGGATTTGTACGCTGTCTGGATATGTTCACTAATAATTCATGTTTATTACTAAAATTTTATGTAAATTGGAATTAATGAATTATAATTCAACTAAATATCTGAGTATTTTTTATATTAATTTAAAAAATTTTCCAAGCGCCTAATTAATACTTAATTTTTTCACACAAACATGTTTTTCTTTTTTAAAAAATCCTTTTTTCAAAAATCAATATTTTTTCTTCCAATTATTACCAATATTTATTATTTTATTAATAATTCGAATCAATAAAAATAATCGATACTTTTGTGTTGATGTACTATCCCTAGATCTAAAATTTTCAAAATTCAACAAAGCCGTTCAAATAAGTTTGACCAAAAATTTGATCAAAAACCGATATATAGCCTTCCTCTAGCATCATGATATAAGATTCCTATTTCAGTGAACCCCATGTATATTGTTCATCATACATATATTTCCTACTTAAAGTATTATCTTTGAGACAAGCGGAGGGACAGGAATCAATCATTTAACATATTGTTTAAATAATGTAGTAAACAATCAATACAAAAATTCTAAAATATACAATGCAAAAAATTATTGTAGTAATATTCGATATAAAGGAAGTATCTCCTAGAAATTTCATCCTTTTCCCATCTAGAAGCTGAGAAATCTCGAAAAAAATATTACTATTATAATATGTATATTTATATAGTGCATTTCTGGAATATCTCGTAAATTGAATGGTAAATAATTTTGAAAATATATACGCTCTGCCATTAAGCACCTGCGAGGAATATATACAAAATTCCGATCCGTATCTTGGAGGTGCTCTCGTGTTCCAACCACCTTAACAGGCCAAGCTTCATAAAAATCGAAATAGTTTAAATATCTTTTTTTACCATATATCGCTATACGACAGTCCTCGCCAGTTTTAAGTTTGTCGATATATACATTGTAACGTTTGTCGATAGTCCAATTTCGTACGATCCTTATGAGTGTACAGTCAACCGCAATAATGGTGACAACGCTGGACGCCGTGCGGTGAGGTAAGAGATGAGATTTGGGAGGCGCCAGCTCGCGTATCTTGGCCTATGCGTGCAACGCAGAAAACACTACGCAGAAAGCACTGCGGTGCGAGCGAGACGCCAGAGCGTCGCTCGGTGCGTCCTTCTTGCACAGCACTAGAGTAAGCGAGACGCCAACAAGGCCCCTAATGCACAACAGGGAGCTTGGTGTGGGACTGCTCGTGCCCGGGCGCACGCTCTCTCTCTCTCACTCTCACTCTCACTCTCACTCTCACTCTCACTCTCACTCTCACTCTCACTCAGACTAATGCTCTATGACGAGAACAGCTACTACCCCCATAAGAAACAAGAAGGAGCTATGGGACTCTCAGTAGTGGGAATGAAATAGACTTTTCGATTATCCATCCTCGTCAATCAACGTTAGTAAGACAAAGAGAGATATATGCGATGTGGTGGCTAGGAACAAGTGTCCCAGCGTCTAACGCATTGAAGCGTCCTACCGTGCGTCCTTTTCGCACAGCACGAGTATAAGCGAGACGACAATAGGTCCCTGAGTCGCACCTATTCACGATGTGTTAGACGCTGGGACACTTGTTCCTAGCCACCACGTCGCATATATCTCTCCTTCTCTTACTAACCCTGTTTGACGAGGATGGATAATCGAAAAGTCTATCTCATTGCCACTACCGAAAGTCCCATAGCTCCTTCTCGTTTCTTATCGGGGTAGTAGCTGTTCTCGTCATAGAGCGTTAGTCTGAGAGAGAGAGAGAGAGAGAGAGAGAGAGAGAGAGAGAGAGAGAGAGAGAGAGAGAGAGAGAGAGAGAGAGAGAGAG